AACACCAGTAAAGTATGGAGTGCCACAAGGATCTGTCTTAGGCCCTCTGCTATTTTCAATATACATGTTACCCCTTGGTAATATGATTAGAAAATACGGGATTAGTTTCCACTGTTATGCTGATGATACTCAACTATACATTTCAACAAGACCAGATGAAACTTCTAAATTATCCAAGCTAACAGAGTGTTAAAAATGTAAAAGATTGGATAACCAATAATTTTCTCCTATTAAATTCAGATGAGACAGAGATATTACTTATTGGACCCAAAAACAGTACACAGAATCTCTTGGTGTTTTGATTTTAGGGTATTCTATTTTAGGGTGGCTGCTAACATGTAAGCGGTTGATGGGGTGAAAAAGGTTGATAAACATGATAAGCGGTTGATAAGCGTTTTAGCATGTTGCTATTTGGTTTCTAGGGTGTGTTAGATAGTTGCTAATGTTATGCGTGTTCCAAATATTTCAGCATGTTGCAATTGAGGGTGTTCTGGGTGGTTGCTAAATGGTTGTTCTTGGGTTCCAAGAATTTTAGCATGTTGCTTTTTGTTGCTAGGGGAAACACTATTAATAAAAAACACTAAGGTGTAGAAACTGATTTGATTGCATCTTTCATCTCTAACCTTGTCTCCTTTTGGACCTGTGGGTCCGGAATCCCCCGTGCTCCCTGTAACCATAACAATAGGTACAGAGATTTAGGTCATTTAAAGTTCAGTCCCATAACTTACAAAGGGAATTAAACATTTAGGTTAAGTTTAACAGACATACTGTACCTTCTCACCCTTATAGCCTGGCAAGCCCTAATTGGACAGAGAAGACAATTATTACTTACCTTTTCTCATTAAGAGGTGAGATAAAATGTTATATATGAAATAAAAATCCAAGCACAACATTACTTAGACTCCCTTACTTCAATTGTACACCAGTTACACCTGGGAAATGTGACTCACTTTAGGTCCAGGTGATCCTCTCATTCCTATATATATATATATATATATATATATATATGTATATATATTATTTATATTACTTGAGATGCACAGTTGTGTAAGATAATGAAGTAATAAGTCATGAGAGGCTGTGCATTTTATCACAGGTAAAGGGTGTTCTCAGGTAAATGTTTATATATTTTACTGGAAATCAAGACAAAAACTGATTAAGAAAATTATTTTTGCAGTCTCCCATAAAATGTTCTTCAAACTCCTTCAAAACCTTTCATATATGAGGGGTTGTATTTTGTTCTCCATCTTGCTTAGTTGTCCGGGGAGGGACTTCGGTACCTTTTTCTGTTCCTTACCTGTGGTTCAACGGGTCCAGGAGGTCCTGGTGGTCCTGCCACACAGAGTTCCTTCACCTTCACAACCTCCTCTCTTACGCTCGTCACCTCCACACGACTAGGCAAGGTCTTGAAAAACAGATAAATGGTAGATTAACAGACATACTGTCATTTCCTGCTCCTAGAATTATGTATAATAATATTGTGTAACTCACAGGCTCTCTATTCCAGACATTAAGAGGAGGCGGGAACAAAGGAGGGGGAGGCGGGGTCAGCAGACAACAAGGGTCAAATCTTTTGAAGACATCATTTGGATCCCAGTCTAAAGAATAAACCACAAAACCAACTAGATGAGACAAAAAGACCTTAATGATGATCAATAATCTTATTGGCAAAAATACTTGTGGAGAAATAGCACTGTAGTTTAGCTGAAGTGCTTTAAAAAAACACTATGAAAAATCACAACCACTTTTATCACTGACTAAAGACATAAACACCTAACAGAGAATGGATTCGTATGAATGAATGACAACAGATAGATTTCAACATGAGACCTGAACAAGACTTAATTCCACTTGTGAAATATGAAGCCTGATAAAACATGCAAAACCTTTAAGATGAAATATAGAACATGAATTAATCACATGCTGATGTACACTAACTGTATAAATTACCATAAGCATACATTTTATAAAGGTCATGACAGCATAGACAATGCAAATACAGGAATACCAAGCGTTCAAAATTGTGATTTTAATCCCAATGTGCAACCAAATCCACGCCTGCATATAAAAGATATATGTACACAACATACTATATATATATATATATATATATATATATATATATGTATATATATTATTTATATTACTTGAGATGCACAGTTGTGTAAGATAATGAAGTAATAAGTCATGAGAGGCTGTGCATTTTATCACAGGTAAAGGGTGTTCTCAGGTAAATGTTTATATATTTTACTGGAAATCAAGACAAAAACTGATTAAGAAAATTATTTTTGCAGTCTCCCATAAAATGTTCTTCAAACTCCTCTCTTTTTTTTGAGGCGCTTAAGAGTTCAGTGCAGTTAAATAGCTGTATGTGTTTTGACTGAGAGCAGCAGTGCAGGACTGAGATTAATGAGTTCAGCACTAAGTAATATTACAGGGCAGAACCGCAGTGGACTGCAGCCAATGAAACAGCACATGGCCTGACACCCTGTAAAACTATTACATGCACCAAGAGAGCATGTCATAAACAGCATATTGGACTGCAAAATGCAACCTGCCTCATCATAAACGGATACATTTTATATGAGAGAAATGATAGAAAAAGATGTGTGAACCAAGACTTCTGCTCCATGTGCTCTATGAAGAATGAAAGCCGCCCCTGACTTTCCACCATTACTGTTATCCATGCATTTGGCACACAATAATTAATAAATACTTTAGAAGATCAAAGATGAGAATCTGACCTTGGACCCTGGTCGTCCAATGTCACCCTTAAGTGAAAAGAAGAACAATTCCTTCAGTTTCATGATAGACTTCACAACTAACAGACCCAGAGACAACTTATTCCTCGTAACCAGATGTTTAACCTTCTCACCTTATCTCCTTTGGGCCCCCCCATCCCTGGGATGCCACTGCGACCCTAAAACAAATGAAAACCTTTCATATATGAGGGGTTGTATTTTGTTCTCCATCTTGCTTAGTTGTCCGGGGAGGGACTTCGGTACCTTTTTCTGTTCCTTACCTGTGGTCCAACGGGTCCAGGAGGTCCTGGTGGTCCTGCCACACAGAGTTCCTTCACCTTCACAACCTCCTCTCTTACGCTCGTCACCTCCACACGACTAGGCAAGGTCTTGAAAAACAGATAAATGGTAGATTAACAGACATACTGTCATTTCCTGCTCCTAGAATTATGTATAATAATATTGTGTAACTCACAGGCTCTCTATTCCAGACATTAAGAGGAGGCGGGAACAAAGGAGGGGGAGGCGGGGTCAGCAGACAACAAGGGTCAAATCTTTTGAAGACATCATTTGGATCCCAGTCTAAAGAATAAACCACAAAACCAACTAGATGAGACAAAAAGACCTTAATGATGATCAATAATCTTATTGGCAAAAATACTTGTGGAGAAATAGCACTGTAGTTTAGCTGAAGTGCTTTAAAAAAACGCTATAAAAAAATCACAACCACTTTTATCACTGACTAAAGACATAAACACCTAACAGAGAATGGATTCGTATGAATGAATGACAACAGATAGATTTCAACATGAGACCTGAACAAGACTTAATTCCACTTGTGAAATATGAAGCCTGATAAAACATGCAAAACCTTTAAGATGAAATATAGAACATGAATTAATCACATGCTGATGTACACTAACTGTATAAATTACCATAAGCATACATTTTATAAAGGTCATGACAGCATAGACAATGCAAATACAGGAATACCAAGCGTTCAAAATTGTGATTTTAATCCCAATGTGCAACCAAATCCACGCCTGCATATAAAAGATATATGTACACAACATACATATAAAATATAAAAGATTCATGCATACAATATGCATAAAATGTAAAAATTTCCAAAATAAACAGTGGGGTCAGAAACATTATGACGATTAATGAATAAAGATATTTATTATTTAATTGCACTATTTCTAGGTCACTAATAAAAAAAAACAATGTGATACACTGAACAAGTGAATTTCCATATAAATGTACAGATTTTGCACTTGTGGAGTAGGCTTACATGCAAAAAGGGCAAATAACACATCTTAAGGAATTCATGTAAATGTTTTAGTTCAAGTTTCCATTCAAATTGTTATGCTGATAATATCATTTCCAACTGAAAATTATTAATTAAAAAAATCATTAAAAACATTAAAACATTTGGACCCTATTCTGCATGTAACATATAATGCAATAAGTAACGATTACATGTTTTATATGTTTTTGAAATATATGCAATACATATTTATATCTATCTATCTATCAAAACAAACTGTATTAGATAAATTTGTATGAAAAGATGCATATGTACGCAAACATTACACAAGCCACACACTCTCATCACATACTGATAAACCCTCACGAGCGCGCACACGCATTCGCGCTCTCAATCCTGAAGGAATCTGGAGGATATTTTCCAGATTGTACGGTGAAAGGTAGGCTGACACCGAGTACAGCAGAAACTGCAGCTGTATCCCAATCCTGCCCATGGCCATGTTCCTATATGAGTGTGTCAAAAACACACAGATCCCAGATCATGCTCAATCCCTCTCCCATCCAGTTTGAAATGCCAGCAGCTCTCCCTCTCACACCCTATTTTCTGCTGTCTCGGTCTCGTCTGTCAGTGTGGCTGTGTTATTAAGTTGTAAGAATGCTTCTCACGGAGTCTATGGGAATCTCCAGGCGCGACTGCTATTACAGTCAGGGTTCTGACATCTGATCCACGCTCTCCAGCCCCTCATGCCAAGATTAGACCCCCCATACTACCAATACCACACACCAACTAAATGACCTGATGTAATTAGGGACAAGAATGAAAAAATAATATAAATAAATAAACTCTACAAAATGGTGCATGTCAATCATAAGACCATCACATTCTCAACTCAATGTGAAAACACTTGCAACAATTTTATTAGGTAGCAGGTCACTTGATTTGCCATATCACCCTGCAGCCCAAGACTGGTTGCCCACTGAAGCTAAGCAGGGCTGAGCCTGGTCAGTACCTGGATGGAAGACCTCCTGAGAAAACTAGATTGCTTGCTGCCAGAAGAGGTGTTAGTGAGGCCAGCAGGGGGTGCTCACCCTGTGGTCTGTGTGGGTCCTAATGCCCCAGTGTAGTGACGGGGACACTATACTGTCAACAAACACCGTCCTTCGGATGAGAAGTTAAACCAAGGTCCTGACTCTCTGTGGTCATTAAAAAAATCCCAGGATGTCCTTCGAAAAAGAGTAGAGGTGTGACCTCGGCATCCTGGCCAAATTTGCCCATTGACCTCTGATCATCATGGCCTCCCAACAATCCCCATATCTGCTAATTGGCTTCATCACTCTGTCTCCTCTCCATCAATAAGCTGGTGTGTGGTGGGCGTTCTGGC